AGAGAGAGAGAGAGAGAGAGAGAGAGAGAGAGAAAGAGAGATAGACTCGTACATCAGGACGTGAAACGCAACAAAGACAGACAGACAGACAGAAAAAGTGAGAAACAAGCAAGCGATCAAGAGCAGATAACTACAAACCACATAACAGCGTCGTCCTACCTTGATAGTCTCCCTCACAGAGTAGCTTCCCTTGTCGCCCGCCGCATCCCCGCCGCCATTGTTATCGCTACCACAGCTCCATTCATTAATACTCCGGTCACGTGAGGTCAAATTTCCGCGCTGCTCCAGACGATGCTGCTGTTTCTGCTGTTGTCGCGGCTGTTGTTGGTGCTGTTGCTGTTGTTGCTGCTGCTTTTGTGAAGAGAGGGGAGAGGCGAGGAAGGAGGGGTAGCGGGGCTGGGGTTGGATGACATCAAAGGTTCCGGTCATCGCTGTACCGGTCACTCGGAACAGCTGTGGGGTGGGCGGGGGCTGGTTAGCCATTGTATGTCTGGCTGTATGTCTGGTGGGTAGGATGGACAGACGGACGGACGGATGGACGATCTCCCGCCGTCCTTCAGTCTGTCTTTGTCTTTATTTTTATTTTTGGGGGGTCTTTCTTTGTCCTTCTTTCTCTTTCTTTTTTCGTTTTCTATCTCCTCTTTTTCTTTCTCTTTCTCTTTATTTCTGTTTCTTTTTCTCTTTCTCTTTCTCTTTTTCTTTTTTTCTTCTCTTTTTCTCCTTCTCTCTTTCTTTTCCTCCTTCTCTTTTCCTCTTTCTCTCTCCTTCTCTTTTTCTGTCTTTCTGTCTCCTTCAACCTCTCCTCTTTCTGTTTCCTTCAGTCGTTACCTCTTTCTTTCTTCTTCCCTTTTTTCTCTTTCTTTCTCTCACCCCTTTTCTCTCCGCCCTTTTCCTCTTACTCTCCCTCTTTCTCGCTCTGTTGCCGCGTCCTTCCTTCGTAATCCAACGTAGTCCTTTCTCGATGTAATAATCCAAAAGTGTTTGGCATTTTTAAAAAGCAGCTACATCCAAAGAAAATTGAAGATAAATCAATAAACATTTCACCACAACAACTCATTCTTTCTTTTTATTTCTCCTCCGCTCTTTCTCGTTCTCTTTTTGTCTTCTTTCCCTTTTCTCCGATATCGCCTCTCTATTTTATAATCCAAAAAAGTTTGACATCACCACAAAGCAGCTACATCCAATGAATGATGCACTCAAATCCTAAACACAAATGATAAAAAGCGTCTTCACCACAATAACCAATTTTTTCTCTTTTTTCTCTTCTCTCTCTCTCTTTCTTTCTCCTTCCCTCTTTCTCATTCTCTTTCTTTCTCCTCCCCTCTTTCTCGTTCTCTTTCTTTCTCCTCCCCTCTTTCTCGTCCTCTTTCTTTCTCCTCCCCTCTTTCTCGTCCTCTTTCTTTCTCCTCCCCTCTTTCTCGCTCTCTTTCTTTCTCCTACCCTCTTTCTCGCTCTCTTTCTTTCTCCTCCCCTCTTTCTCGTTCTCTTTCTTTCTCCTTCCCTCTTATTCCGACGTTGACCTGTCGATTCTATAATCCACAAAAAAGTTTGTCATCACCAAAAAAACATCTACATCCAATGAATAATGCACGCAAATCAACACCACAACTGACCAAAAATACTTCCACCTCAATAACTCATTCTTTCTCTTTCTTCCTCCGTCCCTCTATCTTTCTCCTTCCCTTTTATTCCTTCCTCGACCTCTCAATTTGATACTCCAAAAAAGTTAGGCATGTTCACAATTCAGCTACATCCAGTGAATAATGCACTCAAATCAAAACCACAGCTGACCAAAAACATGTTCACCACAACAGCACCACTTAATTTCTCCACTTTCCACTTCACCTAAGTAAGAAAGACCAAAGCCGTGTCTATGGCTTTCCATCCCCCTATTGCCTCAGGGAAATGACATTTCTGTGTTCTGAAGTGATCAAAAATCATTTAACTTGTTTGGTTTGATCAAAAATTTAAGTGCGTTCCTTTTGGATAAGTTTTACGTAAATATCGATCCCTTTTAATTGAAACAGTTTGCGTAATAATCGATCCCTATTGGGTGGGCAGCGGAAAATTGCGCAGGTTTTAATCCTATTGTCAAAAAGTTCTAAAAGAGTTTTCAAAACCTGTTGGAAAACAGCGAGGGGATTTTCGGTATTGAGTAATGTCTTGTCTTCAGACGAGTATCACACACTTAATGACGTAGGTTTTCAACATCTTTCGTTGTTATAGTAGACATGGCCTGATTTGTCAATGTCATGCTCATACTGTGCCGGAACAACATAGAGGGAACTGCTGCTTTTTTTTCTTCCTCATCCTTACTATCGTCACTTTTACCTCTACTTCTTTTGTATGTTTGTCACCCTCTTGTCAACTGCTATTTCCGGGGTACCTTGATAGTCGAAACAGACTTTGTGCTGTTGAGGCTAGAGAGGTGAGCAGAGTAAGTCTGATTCCCCGTTGGGACTTCTCTGTTGATATCCATCCCTTCGCGCTCATATAACCTTATGCAGCTGCGAGCGCCGTAAAAACCTCTACCAAAACTAAAACTAACTAAAAACTTCTGTCCGCCAGTCTGAAGTGAAAGCCTCTGTGTAAGAGCCCTTTTCGTCCTTTCTCTGTCACGAAAACCTACATTTTAAGCTTCTTTTAGAGCACAACTAAATCGCGTCGGGTATATACATCTATTTTTATTCAAGGCCGCAAGTAGAAAGGCCTACTACTTGAACGGTTTTCAGTGAACACCCAATCAACGAAACATGGTCGAGGTCGGGATTCTGATTCGACAACGTCTACTTCATATCATACTCGTTATCACACTAAAAAACCTGCGCAATTTACCACACACTGGAAGGGCGGCCTATTGAGTAATTCGTTGTATAACAGAATGAAAAATAACATGTGCAGTCTTCCGTCCCCCTTTTGGACCAGTTGAACTGGTAAATTTAATTCCCCATGTAGTAATCAGGCGAAATAACGATTATATGTATTAGTGGTGTCGAATACAAAGTGGTATTGGCCATATCTGAGAAAAGCTCAACACCCCAAACCCACCTTGTGTCTCCACCTTATCATTTTGAGAATTCTTTGTTCTGCCTGTGCTGTGTTTTGAGATTTGGCTGGTGACATGTCCTATAATGTGAGTGGGGTGTGTATGTGTGTGTTTGTTTGTACGTGTGCGTTTGTGCGTGAGTGTGTGTGTGTGTGG